GGGCCACAGGATGACCACCTGCACTCAGGGCCAGGTTCATCAGGTGGTGGGAGGTGGTCTAGCCAATTACCCTCTGGGAAGTCACCAAGGGGACCTTCCCAAAATATGGTGGAACGGCACCACATCAGGCCACAAGATAACCACCCAGAATTGGGGCCAGGTTCATCAGGTGGTGGGAGGTGGTCTAGCCAATTACCCTTTGGGAAGTCACCCATTGCCGAAGCAATGCCAACACTGGTTTTTCCTCTGGAAAAACCTCATGGTCTATCCATGAGATACAGAGATCACACTCTCTGTAACCTACTCTTGGGGAAAAATCCCCGAAAATTTTCAACTTTTTCCCTTTCATCATCTGAAAGGGATACCACTATACTGTCTACTCACTATGGGGAAACCCATAGTGATCCACCTGTCCAGCCAACAGATAAACCACCCCCAAGGGAGGTTAAATTCATCATCTGACTTCCAGATGATGTGACCTTACCCAATACTGGGTAAAACCGCTTCCTAGATCAGGAAGCAGGTGGAGCGATGCCAGGTCTCACAAGGCCAATCGTTCCTCTGGCCATACCCTTATATGGCTAGACCACATTTTTAAACCTAGACATCTGTCTAGGGGGGAGAACCCTTTACCTGAGGGCAAAGGATTTTTACTCATTATTTTATTTTATCACCTAGACACCAGTCTAGGGGGGAGAACCCCGCAAAATTTGCGGAGGTAACTAACATTCATTTATTCTAGCCTCCATTCTATTATTTAAACTTTCTTAACAATACACATAACATTTCACTCACTTACCAATACACTCCTTTTTTCACTTTCTACTTTCTCCATTTCGTAAATTACCACATAAAATTGTCATGGAAAAGATTGTTTTTTCTTTTTCTTTTTTTTTTTCTCTCTTTTTCATGTACCCTTTCCCTCTTTCTCTTTGTGTGCGCTGACAAGCAATGCAAGGGGGGAGAGTGTCAGGTCACGGTCCATGTATGTAGGGGTCATGTGACCCAGGGAGGTCACTATCGTCCTACCCACTGTGAATCATACATATTTGATACTCACAGCTGGGTTCTAGGACACCCACCTTACAGTGAACAACCACAATAGTGGTTCACCACCAAGCTTGTGCTGGTGAATATATTGTCGAACCAGATGTGTAGGTGTCTGCCTACTTCTCCTCATAGTTCCCAGGTCAATGCATGCTGGAAAGTACAGGGAGCATTGCAGTCTCTTTGCTGCATTGTGTTCGAGTTGTACGTCCCATGGGGCATAGAGAATGTTGTCCTATGGACGTCATCTGGATCCACATGTATTTGTTCATACGCATCTGACATATCGATCTTGGATCAGTATGTTGCTCTGGCGACTGATTCTTGGATCAGTCACATGTCTGGCATTGGTGTGACATCGAGGATCATGTTTGAGTTACGATTCCTCACGTCTATTACTGTGCACAAAGATCCATCTGCTTTGTGGATACACAGTAGTGGGCATGCTTGCTCGCTGTTCGCAGGATACCACCATCCTGCTTTTACATAGCGATCGATTTTGGTCACTAGTGCTTCCTGCAGTGCTGCAGGACATCTCAGGGTGTTTTCCTGAAATTTTTTGTTCGGATCCTTTAACGGGATTCAATGGTTCACCTCCCTCAAGGGAGGCATTTCTAATGGTGCTGGTGCCATTACAGTTTTGAATTTCTCTCTCCACCACTCCCTGAGTATTTCGAACTCGGGGTTGTTCATGGAGAGACCTTCCAGATGTGGTACGGAAGTTCTAGTCCTTCCGGACTAGGATTGGGCCAACCTTCAGGGTACTTTCTTTCGATTACCCTGAGGTGTGTTTCAATCCTGCCTCCCTGTCAGGGGGGCTTCTTTTTTGGTTGTTCTTGAGCTCTTGCTCGAGTTTTCCATCTGTGTGATCTCGTCACACAGTCTTCGCTGACTCCAAGGGTATCTATGTTGCCCTTGTTCACCATTCTCACTTTGTGGGACCAAAAGTCTAAGCTTACCTGGTTTTTGTTTAACCAGGGGGTGCTGAATATGGCGTCGTATCTATCGATGTTAATTACATTGAAGTAGTGTTTTTCTATGTGGCCATTGATTTCAACGTCCACATTTGTTCCAAACAGGATCTGTGATCTTGTTCCTTTCATCCCCATTTGAAGGATGACTGGGTTCTCCAATTGGAGAATTGGGATATGGACCACATGGATGAAGTCTGGCGATATAGCGTCCATTTTGGCTCCACTGTCAAATAGCATGTAGACTTTTATGCCTGCTATTTTTATATGAACCATCAGCATTCTCTTTGTTGAGAGCAGTCTGTTTGCGGGGTATTTTCCCATGTCTTTTGAGATGCAGAATTTTGCATCAAACAAGGGGGTCTGGGTTTCGATGGACTTTTGGTCCTTCCCTTTCTCCTTGGGTACTTTGGTGTATTTCCCCAAGGTGTCTTTTCTTGGTGCTTCCACCAAGGCTTTGGCAACTTTCTCATCTGCCGTGTTTTCTAACTGGTGCACTACAGTCAGTTTGATTTTATAATTTATGTCGTTGTAATCGACGACTGACATTGGGCCCATCCTTATGGTCCCGACATTGACTTCCTCACCCTCTGAGTTGGGTGAGTATTATGGGTCCTCTACTTCAAAGCTTGATGCTCCGGATTTACCAGAGTTGTTCTCTGGTTTTTCGTCTGATGAGTCTTCCAACTCTTCTTCTGATGCATTTGCAATCTCCATGGCGGCTATGCACCTTGGTTTTTCGTTGCTCATTGCATTGTGTCTTGGGCAATCTTTCGTTTGCCCTATTTTGCCACATTTGCTGCAAATTGGAACTGACTTTTGGTCAGTTTTCCTCAAGTTTTTCAAGGATGTATCCTCTTTCCATCTGGATTTTGGCTCTTCAGCCTTCTTTCCTGATGGGAGGGCTCTACCGTGGCTCATGGTTGCCATGGTAGTTGTTCGGGTATAATATCCTGATTTGTAGGCTGAAGACATCTTCAGCCCGTCGATTATCTCGTCTACACGAGATATTGCTTTTAACATCTCCTCATTTGAGGAGAAGTCTGCTCTGATTCTGTCATGAGCGATCATTTCCCTCTTCCATTTGAGGGGAATGTAGTTTAAGAACCTGGCGTTGAAGGACACCTGGTCTGGTGGCATCACCATCTGGGACGCTGCTTTAGACAGTTCCAAGTAGAACTGTTTTAGGCCTTTTTCCACTTTGTATTTAACGTTGTGGTACTTCTTTGTCGCATTCAACATGGCAGAGGCTTTAATGAATGTTCTCATCAATATGTTGAGAACTTCAAGGAACATGCCCTCATCTCCTCTGAGGAGAGTCCTGCCTCGGAGTCTTATTCCGAGGTCGAACATGGGTGTTACAGGAATGGGTTCCGGGGAACCCAACCTGAGCCGTTCGGCTCACTAATGGAGGTGGCTGCGTAGCCATCGGAGGGAGAGCGGAATGGGATGAGTGTCTGGCAGTGTAACCTGTGGGTTGGCCAACGGTAACTTGGCGCTCCTGGGAGCGTACCGGTAGCGAGTATGACATGGGCTCCTTGAGGGAGCCACCTGGCTGTCTGCTAACGGGGACTTGGCACTCCTGGGAGCGTGCCGGTAGCGGGTGTGCTGGGAGCAGTTGGCTAGCGGTGACTTGGCACTCCTGGGAGCGTGCCAGTAGCGGGTGTGCTGGGAGCAGTTGGCTAGCGGTGACTTGGCGCTCAATGGAGCGTACCGGTAGCATGGGATACTGGGACTCCCAAAGGGAGTCACCCAGTTGGTGGCTATCGGTGACTTGGCGCTCATGGGAGCGTACCGGTAGCGGGGGTTGTTGGGGAAAGCGGGCTGGTGGACCAGTGCACGGTAGTGAGTGACCGTGGGAAGTGGGACCTGTGGGTGCGGGGCCAGACATTCTGGAGCTGCCTGGACTATATCCCTCTCCTAAGGAGGTGGGATAGGCTACAGTTCCTGATAGGGAACTTCTGGTTGAATGGGAGTGACCACTCAACCACCCGGTGGACTGGTGGGAGCGGGCAGCAGGAGGTTGGGCGTGGGAATGCCCTCCTCGCTGCGGTTTTGTCATGGAGAGGAGGAATAGGGAGGTGGACATGGTTCCAGGGTTACAGGTTGAGTTTACAGTGGTGGCACAATGGTGAGGATGTTACAATCACGGTACAAGGTTTTTGGGTTATGTATTTTATAATCAGAAAATCTCTTGGCAATTGCCATACATATCATATGACTTGTATCTATCTAATACAACTGTTATAATGGCCAAAGGAAGTCCTTTGGAAATCAACAAATCCCCCAGCCAGCACCAAAACCCAGTGGGAAAGCTTGGCATGGGGTTTGGCAGAGAATGAAGTGAGAAGAAGTAAGAAATATCTTACCTGTGTGCCTGGTCTATAGGAGTCTAGGCCCATTTCCCTAGCAAAGGGCCTCAAGGTCTGGTTGCCTGTCACGGACCATAAGATTCTCCATTTCCATAACATCGCCCCCCAGACTCTTATGGGCCAGTGTGACAGCAATGTCTTTCCTCTGATTATCCAAGAGCCCAGGTTCCCAGTGTTGCTGGCCTTGGTTTAGGAATGGAGCTTGGAGACCATCCTTACAGATGTGGTCCTAGACTTCATCTGGCTCTGGTCCAGCAACGAGCTTGGGCAGCATGATCTTGCGTGCAATCATGTTAGGAATAGACCAGGGATCCTAGGTGTCCTGAAATTGGATCATCCGTCTGTAGTCCAGTTAGACAACTCGGACCAGGTAGTGTGGCATGTCCTGTTTCCCACATGGAAATCCCCCTCCTTCACATAGGGTTGTGCTTGGCTTAATATGGACATTGGCATTCTAAACACAACAGCTTGGAGGTGGCCTGTGCGCGATAGAAGATCCGGGATGGTCACCCAACCCACATAGGAGGAGTTGGAGGGATAGAGCTGGGATTGAATGTAGGTTGTATGCCGGCTTTGTCTCGTTTCATCTGTACTAAATTGGTTGGAAGCCTCACAAGACAGCCTGGGCGATCATTGGTTCTTGCAGTCGCTCTCTATCCTTCCGAGATGAATAATCAAAGACGGAATGTAGCTGTTGATTTGGCACCCCAATCTCCCCTAGTTTTTTTTTTGCGCTCTTCGGCAGCCGTTTCCCCACTGGTAGTCCACCTTGAGTCATCGGGGTGGTGCGGTACCTGGTGTCCGACTCGGGAGTTGGGTCTATCTACATGGGAGGGAGCCGGTCTCATCCATTGGCAAAGGGAATTCACCCTAGAGATCATTGCGGCATAGTGATGGACACCACCGAGGGTATAATAAGGTGGGTGATCCTGTTGGGGTCGGTGTTGCTGGGTAGTGGAACTTCCGGGGCCGTCGGGTGTTGAAGTAGCTTTGGGACCACGCGGTTTTGAAACCATGGGCAACAAGGCCGACCCTGGGGTAGCAGCCAAAAGTGTCCATAGTTCTATGGCGGTGCTGACTGAGCCCAGCTGCTTGGGTCCGTTGTCCATGGTACTCAGCCACGGCCTGAACCTGGGCGGCTGTGGTGAGGTTGTTTGGCATCCTAACAGTCGAAACTGTTACGTCCGCTGGGGAGGGAACCATCTCTGGCTTGAGTCAACAGTGGCACCCGAGACGGCATCCAGGACGATCCGGGTTAAGGCGTCATCCCTTGTACCTGAGCGAGACAATCATGCCCTCATCGTCCGACTTGAGTAACCCTGGGCCAAAGGGAGTTTTCCCGCCTAGACCTGTCCGTGTCTTCTAGGGGACGAAGTCGGATTGGCAGATCGTGTCATATCCGTGCATACCCGACCCCGACCCGACTTCCGGACCTCCACCCTCTTCACCTCCGGAGTCATAACCCACCGCTGCCTTTCCGATACTCACCTTCGGTCTCGGCAACACACCCCTCCTCTTACCTCTCCGACCCCTTCTCCGTCCGTTCCGATACTCATCTCGGACCGAACATCTCCCTACTCACCACCCTTCCTACAACCCCGCTCCCCCTCACCACACCTCCACCCTCCCGTCATCCCCTACGCTATCTCCGTCCGTTCCGATATCCACCTTCGGACCTGACTACTCTTCCTTACCTTCCCCTCTCTCATTCCTCCGCCACCCTTCCACCAAGTTACGACCATCCACCGCTGTTCCGTACTTCACACTCGGACACCGTTCGTACCTTACTCCGAGCCTCCGTCATAGTCCATACCTCGGACTTTGACTCCACCTCGGTCTTAGTCCATTGCATTGGTGACCTCATACTACGTGAACACCATTGCCAATATTCCTCGGACTTCCAACCCCGCCTCCGTAACCTCCGTAAGCTCCGCAACCCCCGAGCTTCGCGGACCGCCTCCGGCACTCTCGCCGTTTGTAATGTATTTCTCGCAATTCCCCCTCATCCCTATTTGGACTACTGCTTCTTTCTATTCTAGCCAGTTAGTCATCACCCCCACTTCCCCTCATCCTCCTGCCCCTCTGGGCCTCGCCCACTCTACCTCCTTTCGGATGTATCACAGGTCTTGCCCTATGACCTTCGGTACCGCTCCGCTCCCTCTAACCCTTTGTTCCCGTTCGGACGTCTTCGTTCCGATTCGGTCACCCTTTGTTTCTCCTTGTGCTTTTGCCCCTTCCTTATATATCGGCGCTTGTACATACTCGTCTGTTTCAGTCCGAAATCGACCTGAAATGCCCCCAAGAGACTTCCTGCTCACCTACTGTGAAATTAAGGACCAAATGGACAAACAGCAATGGCACAGCGCTCCGCTTGAGTCGCTGAGGCCAAGGTCCCTCCACGCTAAGTCTCCGATTCCACTCCGGAGTCGTCCGTTTCCGCCCATCTCTAACAGATCGAGCCCATGACTTTGGACATGAGAAGTCCCCTCCACTCTGCACCTATGCCAGTAGATCATCGTTGGCGGCGGAGCCGTTGGTGTGAGCGTAAGGATGCAGAAGGGACACCTCGCGCATACTTGTGCTCCATGCGAATATTACAAACGTTGCGTATGAGCGACGACCTGCAGGGGCGCTGTAGCGATCAGAGACACCGTTCTTGGCACGGTTCGCAGCCGGTACGACCAAACACCGCGAGTTCGCAGATGGCAGTAACGAGAGCAGACAATCCTCTCCAGGAGACGTGGGGTCTCGTGAGACCAGTGCATTGAGGGTGTGCCGTAGCCGAGGCTCCAAACTGTAGGCCTCTCTTGTTGGCGCATTATGTTGTGAGGGTCATACTTTTAGCTCGCGAGTGAGCCTTCCGTTGTAGGCACCACGATCGAGGTCGAAGTTCGATCCGATAGGAGATCCTTGGGCACAATGCGTGCGTTGACTAGCCCACTTCATTGAGTCTACGTGGTGGAACGACCAGCGCGGGCATGGCGTATGGGGAAACATGCTGTGGCTGGTGGACTCCCTAGATGGGATGTGCGTTGAGTGGTCGGGTTAGAGATGTCTAGTGAAGTCGGGCCCGGGAACTACCCAGCCAGAGTGACTTGGCAACGACCGGGTTAGGTGCAAAGATTCGTGCATGGTGCAGTTTGGGGTAGGATTAACCTCCCCTGGGATCCCTGAGGGGGTGACGATCGATGGCTTGGAACTGGTCGTAATAGAGACGTGAAAACGTAAGGGATTAACCTCCCTGAGATCCCTGAGAGGGTGACGATCGACAGCTTGGAACTCGATGAGTCTGGTCGTAATAGAGACATGAAAACGTATGGTACAATAAGGAATGGAAACTGTAACTGGTGATACCGGATCCGGATAGCCGGTAGTATTCAGTTGGCAGATCGAGGGTAGCCAACCGAACTGAAGTCAGTTGCAGGTACGGATAGTTCCCCTCCATGACCAGAGGCATGGAGGTCGCTGTTGAGAATTGTTATCGGCGGCTTCCGATATACCATGACCACGCTGTGGGCTTTAACTCCCATCCCAGCCACTGATGCTACCCAGCGAATTTCGATCAGCCATGGCTGCCTTCAGAGGCTAGGAATGGGTGCTGAGGGGGGGGCACGGAGAGAGACAATGTCCGGGAGTTTTCGAAACAAACAATGGTAAATAGGTTCGCTGAAGCGCGTGTATCCCTTCCTGCATCAGCCCAATATGGAGCCGAGTTGGAGACCAGGGGTCTCAGAAATAGCTTGGAGGGAAGGAGGGAGAGGCTGGTCTGATTAGACCCAAGTTGAATCTTTCGTCCTCTGTATTTAACAAGTATGACGATAGGACCTTGCTGACGACTTGTTTAATGCAAGTCCCTTTTGGGGCGGTCCTCTGGCGGAGGGACTGGTTTTCTGAGAACCCGGTCATTGAATCTCGAGGGCTCAACTCCTCTTCACCTACACTGGACCGACGTGACTGAATGGAGGGTGAGTGTGCAAGGACGCGGAAGGACTGCGTGGGTTCGGAAGTTAGTCGAGATAGACCAACCACGCGGTATGATACTGGGAAGACAGAATGGACCGGGCTGGGAAGCGGATTCCCTCGTTTGATCAGATGATTTGACCATCTCAGAGGGTGTGGTAGGACGATCGGATTTGACTGATCTGACGATGCGGCTGTGGACCTAGGAGTAGTCGAGGACACAGAGACGCATAGGCAATTGGCCTGGAAGAGGTGCCACTGCGAGCTTTCGGGCCGAGCCATGGCGACGGTTTTTCTGTCGGAGCTCGGGTTCTTGCGGTAACACGGTGTAACGTTTAGTCTTCCAGCAGGGAAGGAGGCAACTTGTATCATAATGCTGCTGTTGCCATGCTTATAAATGCCATGTGGATGATCATGGCCTTGAATTCGCACAACACCGCGTGGCATGTAATTTGCCAGGCTTGGTACGACCTGAGACCACCAACGGGGTATAAGGGCTCTTCCTAGGTCCACTCTTGGTCGGGTCCGACGTGTAGCTGACCACACAACCTGAATGAAAACCACGTTTGATGACTGCCACAATGTGGGGTGTACCACATCCGGTGGGTACCGCGTCTCACGAGGATGGTGCCATGGCGGCGCTTGCATCGTGCCTGTCATTTCCAAGCACCGCGATACGGTGTATATCCGTTTGAGAGATTTGGGACACGACATGGACAGTGATGCTCGTAGTGGCTCCGTGTGCGACAACTCGAGCTCTGGCTGTGTCCATACCCATGAAGGTACTTGCTCAAGGGAATACGTCGCAGGAATTGCCGAGAAATCTGACAGACCAAATGGGGATGACGGCTCAACTACATGATGGATCACGGTGCACGCCAAATCTAGAGGACGGTGGACAGGAACCACCGGTGGATCCGACTGGTCGTGCAAGGGCGGCTTGACCGTACGTTGCGCTGATCTGATGGGATGCGTTTCCGATGATGTACAAACCATGTGTGAGCCATACGAAAGAGCCGGCTCGAGAAGATGGTAACCTGCATCAGCTAGAGGACCTGAGTGGACATGCGTGAATTCTGGCTCAGACGCCTGGCGCGTCATCCTGGTGAAACGCGCTGAGATCGATAGATGGGCTACTGGCGAACAACATAGCCCATGCAGGTATGCTGGCTCAGGGAGTTGACAAGTGGGTACTGCACGGAGATCCAGCCAGTTGTATGAGGATGTCGACTCGTCTGCACAGTGCAATGTACTAGCGGGACGAGTCTTAATTAGTGTGTGTGCTGATACCAAGTGGTGCGACCACTGCCAGTGTGCTGCCTCGAGAAGGGAGTGCATAGAAACAGTCAATAGGCCTACAAGAGTAGATAAAGGGGTCGGCTTGACCGCTTGGCACGATAAACGGATGTGATTCATCACAATTGGTCGACTAGTCAGGGCTGAGTGACACAGATGGCACGAACACCCAGGTTCGAGAACGCAGGATGTAAGAACAGCCAGATGGTCCTTGTTTGATTCTCCTACCCCTGAGTAATCTGTCTCACGTGAGTATGCCGACTCGGTCGGGCAACGCAAGGGATCGGCCAGAAGGTTCATCTGGCGATACGCTAAGGTCAACGGATGGACCACCGCTGAACTGTACGACTCAAGTAGACGCGCTAGCTCCAGGGGACGGCGTGAAATGACAGTCGACAGGTTCGACTGACCCAGCGAAGACGTCAGCTCTATCGCACAATATGCTGCGGTGACAGTATGCATTGTGCGTAGTGGGTGCGCCATGGTTGAGCATTGCAGCTCGCGTGAACACTTTAGCTCAGGAGGATGACGCAAAGGGGTGTCCAGAGGAAACGACTGGGCGAGAGGTAACGTCGATTTGGAGGCATGACACTTCATACTGACGTAGTGTGTCATACTTGAATCATGGACCACTCCAGGTAATGACACCGGCTCAATCATTTGGCCCATCAAATTGATGGAAACCACAGCAATCGACGAACCGGCCATGGCTGAATGGTACCGTTCATCTAGCTCATATGAATGATGTGGAGGATCCGCCAGAGAATCCGACCTGACAAGCAAAGGTAGCAGTTCACGGATCCAACCGTCAAAGGGCGAGGTAGTTGGGAAATGGCCGCCTTTGGCGTCGGTAATGTGCCTTGACCACATCAGCGTCATAATCTGAGTTCCACCCAGCTGGGGGTTGGACATAATGACTTCACAGCGGAAAACTCTGTTGAGCGTCTGGACATCAATGACGACTGAATACGCAATCGCTTGACGCGTCGAACCGGTGTAACTTGTCACCCGTGGTGATCCAGCACTGGCTGGATGGTACGGATCATACCAGCCTCCCAGCCCACGAGGGTGACGGGAGTAAGCTGCTGGAAGGCCCAACAGAACGGACAAGAGCGTCGGGCTGACTAGTTGCATCAAGCTCGATGGGTCATCAGTCAAGGGGTCTGGCGACTCAGGAGTACAGCGCAAAATAGCAACCAAAGGGACCGACTGGGCCAGTGAGGGCGCCGGCTCAATCGCGTGACACAAGTGTAACTGGACTAGCGATAATGTCAAATTGACGGCACGACGCGCTAGGCTGGCGTATCGGGTCATACTCGATGGAGAGGTCACATCTGAGCGACGTGACTCGTCCGAACTTGTTGACTCTGGTGGCTGCCACAAAAGATCAATGGGGAACCACTTGGGCGGGTTCCACAAAGGTGTGACCAGGCGTTCCGGTCGTCCCGTTAACCTCAGTTCGACTATGTAACATGACGGATTGTGGGAGCAGTGCATCACTCTTGGAGAATGAGCCCTGACTGGACGAAACGGACCAATTGGACGTGCCAGCTCAGGTAAGTGCCACATAGGAGTAACCGTTCGACCTGACAGGGGGGACAAGCTGCTGGAATGTGCCGCACTTGGCAAGCTGACCACGACTGAGTGATCCGGCACGCGTAAGCAGGATGATTTGAGATGGCATCGTGAGGGAATGACTGGCGAATCCAGCAAGGCAATCGGGAGCATTGATCTAACTATATAACACACCATGTTAATAGCGTAGGTTGTGCTCAATGAACAGGTCGCAACTGAATGGGACAATGGATGGAGCGAGGTCGATGATTCAAACTTGCGAGGTGTCGAGCTGAAAGAGTATGTTGTGTTTGACAAATGATCCACAATTGAGCGGTGCTGTTCGAACGGACATGCTGACTCAACTGGACGCTGCAAAGGGACAGCCAGTTGATCTGACTGGTTAGCCAGGGGTTTTAACGTTGGCTTAGCCAGGTGGGATGATGAGCTGGTGGGTTGGACCGCACCCATCCAACAGGCCGTGACTGAACGAAGCAACTCGTCGGAACGTGTCCGCTTGGGTGGATGCCGTGAAGGGCCGGTTGGAGATCCCAGCTGGATTGGCAATGGTATCGGCTCACCCATATGACACATCAACCTGACCGCGTACGTTGCAGTTGAGGTGGAAACTGAGCTCGATGGCTCGTCCGAGCATGCCAACTTGCGTGGGTGCCACGAGGGTGTAGCTGGGTGATCCAACTGGACAGTTGGGCACTTAAACGCCGCATGATGCGTCAAGCTGGAGATGTGTACCGCGCTCAATGACCAGGCCATGACTAAGCAATGCAGCTCATCTGAGTGTATTGGCTCAGGCAGACACTGTGAGGGACCAGTAATGGAACCCAACTGGCCAGATTGTGATGTTAACTCGGCCACGGAAGGTGTCAAGCTGATTGGACATGCCAGCTCCGATGAACGTGGCCCCAGTGGGTGCTGCGCAAGATCAGACAGTCGGTCCGTCTGGATAGTCAGGGAGCTAGATTCCGCTATGTACCGTGTCGAACTGGCAAGGTTTGTTGCGCTTGATGTGCAGGACGCATCAATCGGGAGGTTTGACTGAACCGACAAGGACAACGGTTCAACCTGGCAATGTGAAGGGCCAATGGATTCCGTCACGCTTATTGGACGGTCCGCAACTGGACAATGCCTGAACGGGGACATTGGTCTAAGCGATGAGACAGCTGGTTGATCCAACTGATTAGCAAGTGATGCCAGTTCGACCTTGCGACAGATTGGGCTAGCGAAGCGCCTCGCGCTTGGTGCATATGCCACAACTTGACGAAGTTGTACTAACGGGCGTGCCCGCTCAAGCGAACCCTGCCATAAAGCTGCTAGCTGGTCTGACTGCACGATCGGAGGTAATGATGCAGCCATGCAATGCATTGAACCGTCAAGGTGTGTTACACTCGACAGACAGGACACATCTGGACGGAGCAATTCATGTATGTGTGATGGCTCGGGTGAATGTTGTGAAGGAACAGATGGTCGGTCCATCTGGATGGTTGGAAGCGCCGGATCCACTACGAGCTGTGTCGAACCGTCAAGGTGCGTGGCACTCAACAGACGGGATGCATAACGTGAGGGGCTGATAGTGCCCGTTGAGCTTGTTGAACAGTCTGCAGCCGGCCGAACCAACTGAGCAGCCAGTGACATCGATTCAGTCTTGCGACAGGTTGAGCCAGTGAGGTGCCCTGCGCATAATGAACCTGCCACGCTTGGGCGAAGTTGCACCAATGGATGCGCCAGCTCAAATGAGTGTTGCGCAGGAACGGTCATTTGACGAGACTGGGGTGTCGAGCTGTTGCAGCGTTCTGTGCTTGACGTACAAGCTGCAACTGTGCCATCTGGCACTGAGGACGGGTGTAGTGAGGGCAACTCCAATTTTTCTGCAGCGGGCGGGATCGCAACGACCTCAGGTGTGCGAGGTCGTACTGGTGCCAATGAGGGGTCGGTTGTGACAAAACGGGAGCTCGCTGCTCGGGACTGTGAGGGCGAGGACCTCCTTAGCATGTTCAAAGTGCAGAACAAAGTCAGCTAGTTTTCGCTGTAGATAGCTCCAAATTCGATGTAAGGTGCTTAGCTCGGTCCAGCCTGACGTGATCAATGTGGAGTAGACAATCCGTTCTGGATCTGCCTTGAACGTGGCACGGATGAGGTCGGAACCGGAGATGGTTTGGGTGAAGTGGTCCATCGCACGAAGGATTAGGGTCAGCTGTTTACAGCGCTCATCAATGAGACGGTAGGAGGTGGAGGAGCCTGTAGTCAGTTTACGGAATGGCTGAACCTCTATGTTGTCTGGGCCCAGCCGTTGCCATTCACGTAGCATGTCCATAGGCGCGCGCTCATAATAGAATCTCCATGGTGATGAAAACTCGTCTAGTGCACGCTTTAGTGGGATAGTGGAATACTGATAGTCTGAGTTGACAGTGCCTAAGTTAGATGAGTAATCCTCCTGTGTGTGAGCTCGAGGTCGCACGATTGAGTTTGATGATGGTGCTACCGGGGTTGGGGCACCAATGTTACAGGAATGGGTTCCGGGGAACCCAACCTGAGCCGTTCGGCTCACTAATGGAGGTGGCTGCGTAGCCATCGGAGGGAGAGCGGAATGGGATGAGTGTCTGGCAGTGTAACCTGTGGGTTGGCCAACGGTAACTTGGCGCTCCTGGGAGCATACCGGTAGCGAGTATGACATGGGCTCCTTGAGGGAGCCACCTGGCTGTCTGCTAACGGGGACTTGGCGCTCCTGGGAGCGTGCCGGTAGCGGGTGTGCTGGGAGCAGTTGGCTAGCAGTGACTTGGCGCTCAATGGAGCGTACCGGTAGCATGGGATACTGGGACTCCCAAAGGGAGTCACCCAGTTGGTGGCTATCGGTGACTTGGCGCTCATGGGAGCGTACCGGTAGCGGGGGTTGTTGGGGAAAGCGGGCTGGTGGACCAGTGCACGGTAGTGAGTGACCGTGGGAAGTGGGACCCGTGGGTGCGGGGCCAGACATTCTGGAGCTGCCTGGACTATATCCCTCTCCTAAGGAGGTGGGATAGGCTACAGTTCCTGATAGGGAACTTCTGGTTGAATGGGAGTGACCACTCAACCACCCGGTGGACTGGTGGGAGCGGGCAGCAGGAGGTTGGGCGTGGGAATGCCCTCCTCGCTGCGGTTTTGTCATGGAGAGGAGGAATAGGGAGGTGGACATGGTTCCAGGGTTACAGGTTGAGTTTACAGTGGTGGCACAATGGTGAGGATGTTACAATCGCGGTACAAGGTTTTTGGGTTATGTATTTTATAATCAGAAAATCTCTCGGCAATTGCCATACATATCATATGACTTGTATCTATCTAATACAACTGTTATAATGGCCAAAGGAAGTCCTTTGGAAATCAACAAATCCCCCAGCCAGCACCAAAACCCAGTGGGAAAGCTTGGCATGGGGTTTGGCAGAGAATGAAGTGAGAAGAAGTAAGAAATATCTTACCTGTGTGCCTGGTCTATAGGAGTCTAGGCCCATTTCCCTAGCAAAGGGCCTCAAGGTCTGGTTGCCTGTCACGGACCATAAGATTCTCCATTTCCATAACAATGGGTCCCCCTAATCCACAAATCAAGCAGTCCAGATGGACTTCGTCGAATTGGGGACCTTTGCATCCTCGTGAGGCAAGGAACCCCAGTAGTTCTGTGAACCACTGCCAGAACGATTCCATGTCGTTCTCTCCTGACCATTTCTTGTCAGGAAAAGCCAGCCCATTTTTTAGAGCTTCAGGCTTCACTCCCTCTGGGTAGGGAGTGAGTATTCTCACTTCAGCCCATTCTTATGGCCTTTTTGTACCATTTCTATAGGTACTCCTCTTGCTCCCCTGCCTTTGTGGGGTCACTATCCAATGGAGATCTCTCCTTTGGGGGGGTTTTTGCTGGGGGAATCTTCCTTGCAGTGTTTCTTTGGTTTCAGGTGAATTCGCCTGAAGTTGTATTTGGATTCTCTCATTGTTTTGAGAGAGTGTGGTTGAGTTGCCTCTCTGTTCGAGAGGTTTGTCAAAGGTGGACATTTGGCTGAACCTTTGGTACATGCCGATTCTCCTCCTAATTTCTGAATGATGCCATTGTCTTCTCCTGTCCTTGGGAGAAGGATCTCCTTAGCATCTCTGTCAAGTCGCTGATGATACTCCAGTGTGCTTTCACTGGTGGTTCTTTTCATGAATTTTTCACGAGTTCTGTTTTTGTCCTGGCCCATGGCCCAGGGGTAATTTTTTTTTTTGTGAGGAGTTTATCTCCTTCAGCAAGTCCATCTGCTTGCTGATTTTTTCAGTCAATGTATCGATTGCATTGGCCATTCTTTCTAGAGTTATCTCTAGATGAGCCGTGCTATTGTGGTTTGTTTCCTTGATCTTTTTTTGGATTGAGTTTATCGTGTTTATTATGCACGATTCCTGGTTTTCCAGGAGGAAGTTGGTTGGGTGAGCAGCGATTCTCCCCAGTTGACATTGCCACTTCTGGGGGTTCCAGAAGGGGTTCTTGGAGTGAACACTCCATGCTCGCTTTGTTTAGGCGAGGCTGTTGCAGAGGGTGCTTCCCTTTCATAGAGGGGTCTGTTTGCTGGTTTTTCCTTACTTTTCCGTAAGGCTTCCTCAGCGAACTCCCTCATTTCGGTTCACCTCCTCTTCATTATCTCAGAGACCTCCTCCAAGGTTGGCAACCTTGCCTTGTCTGGCATGGTGTGGGGTAGTGTAAACAGCGGAAGTTCTTTTGGAGCTTCCACGCTCTGGGAGATCCTGCTCTCAGGGCATTTTTTTGTGCCTTCCCAGGCTTCCAGCCTGAGAAGAAGTTGGTCTTTGCTTTCCATCCTCCATTTGGATGGAACCTGGAACAAGTCCAGTAGTTTTTTGGATAGCCGATGTGGAGGCTCTTCCCTTTGTTTCCCTTTGTCTGCCTTTGGGGCTTGACTTGGGGACATGGGGGAGGACTCCAGGGAATAGTTGGGCCCTGGAGTTTCCTGCAACTCTATCTGATCAGCTTTTTGGGCTGATCATTTGGCACTTACGCGTTTATCGCACAAGTTGATCACCTCCTGAGGAGGTGAGGGATCTTCCCCAGCGAGGGTTAGATCGGTATGTCATGGAGTTCTAGGGGTATTGGGCCCCGCACTTCTCCACGTAAGTTTCTAAAACCTTCAGGGGCCAGCCCTGAGGTGGTTGCTTTTACTGGATCATGTTGATCCTCATCGTTGTCTGATGACAGCTGTTGATTTGAATCTCCCATGATGGGAGATTGTGGTTTCTTAATGAACCACTCATTTCTTTTTAACGTCACTGCAGATGCGACCTTGCCCTTGCAGGCATGTTTAGGAGCCATTGGCGCTACTGAGTCAGATTGTTAAGATGTTAAGTTTTTGTGGGTTGTGTTGTAAAACACACCTCATACACTTAAAAAAGTGTGAGGTCTCAGGGTAGCTCAGCACACAGAGCCGTAAGTGATACAATGGTGTGTATTTTATGGTACTGTGTAAGCAGTTACCCAGAGGTTCCCGCTTACCCACATGACTATATGTATCTTAATTACATATGGCTCGGGGTTTGGGGCTATTGCCCTGACAGCTTCTGTGTTGATGAGTACAGCTGCATGAATGACTGTGGCAGCTAGAAATGTAGCTACATTTTATCAGCACATTTTAACAGGATATCTGCAGATTTGGCTCTTGAGAGGATAATATCCACAGTTTCCAATCCACAAATTCAAAGGTCCCACTACCTTCTATGTTTCCATATTTTTTCTTCAATTTTTCCAAGCCCTATCTAACCACCCATGCCTCTTATTTCCATATTGGGCATCTGACATTCATGTTTTCTGCCATTTTCCCCATATCTCCATCACTTCTCCACCAATCTACAATCCGCGGATTTATAACTGCCAGGTATGGATTTCGTTTCCGATCCGGTAGGAGCCCTAGTGTTGGCATGGCATCATGGCATCCCCACAAATGAATTAAAGAATGCCTTGCATCTCCTCAATAATTTACATACATGAAATTTGATCTGTTGGTCAAGTATATTTTTTGGGTGATCGTCCATTTCCAACATCAGGAAGTAGCAGATGAATGTGCAGGAAAGTCAGAACCAACGTCGTATTCTCGACGCCGTGGTATCTGGTGGCTGGCCCCAAACATCCTTCTCGGCATGGATTTTTAAGAGCAATTGCAGTGCAGCAGGCTTCATTGGCCCATAACGATCTAGAGCACTGGCTCCCACGCACGCAGCTTGTGCGGCTGCAACGCCAGTGCCGCTCCAACTTGCGCGCGCACCCGGGCCGCCGATCCCCAGCGTCTGAACGCGAACACCCGGGGCAAAACCTTTGATGAGACGCCCCTGGTTGGAGAACGATGCGAACTTGTTATCACGACCATCAATGGCACCGATGGTAATGACTTCATCAACAGACGGCGGACTGGACCACCTTACATCACGCGCCAGATTCCCTGCAGCGGCTACAACATGCAGCCCCTTAGCGACGGTCTTCATGAAGATCTCGTTCATTGCCGGAGTGAAGGGGAAGGTCAGGGGCATCAAAATGAGGGCAGGGTTCCCATTTATTTGGGCTGCCGCCGCAGCATATTCCAGGGCTGCGATCAAGCGGGCGGCCGGTACAATTTGGTCATCAGAGACAACCTTAACCCCAAGAGCACGGACTCGGTCGCACTGGCCCGCTACTACTAGCCCGGCGAGTGCTGTCCCAAGACCGATGACGTCCAGGAGTCCACCACCAGCAAAGGTCTGCACACAGAAACAGGTATTGGTAAACATATATGACAGAGAGTGCGTAGAGATACATACAGCAATCCCAAAACTCTTTGCAGCAAGGCAGCCGTCCCATCGGGTGTCAACTCCAGTACTCAGCACATAAACATCGATTGGCTTCCTTTCGCATCCTTGGGGCTCCACCAAAACATCGTCACGCTTTGTTGCATTCCTTTCGTTCACTTCGTGGGGGACATCGTCAATGAAATGTACGGTATCAGCTTCGACGGAGTGAACCTCGGGGCGACTCAGAATGCCAGTAAGTGATTCTCCAGTTGCGTTTACGGAGTAGCCATTCAGCACTACGAAAATCAACATTTTTTCGGTGGGACATTTAATATCAACTCACTTGTATACCGGTGAGTGATTGAAAAAATTGACCCAGGGCTCCGGGCGGATATCCGAGTAATACCCTCAATATGATTGTCCATATTTGCGCCGGACTTCAGCACACTGAGTAATGAGTCGGCCAGTAACCTGTTAGGTCTATGTGCGGGACATACACAATGTACGAGTCACGTATTACCGGACCATTCGGCATCCTGATAGGAACAGAGGCAGCGAGGGCTGTTGTTGTAGTGGAAGCGAATATGACGACCAGAATAGCCACGGTTGAGAACTTCATTGCTGGATTGTGAAGAGAGGAGAACTAGGGAGTGAAGATCGACAGCAAGCTGAGAGTATGTCCGGAGCCATATATGTAGCGCATAATATTATGTTGATGTATGCATCCTGATTGCAGACAGACCGATCGTGAGAATCGATTACGCGGGTTGATTTGGGCCATATGTAAGAGAGAAGGAAGCTAAATATGTCATGGTAAGGGCTCCTGATCGGGATTGGAATCCACGGATTTAGAGGTTTGATACAAAATCTATCCAGCGGTTAGAAATCCGCGGATACTAATGCGGACTAACCCTGTATTGTAGATACCATGGTGGAAAACTTACAGAGATATGGGGAAAACATAGATGCCCAATTTGGAAATAACAAGGTGGTTAAAAATGGAATCATAGAAGGGTATCAGGACAGTGGAAGGCATTCAATCCAGGGATTTTCGGATGAATCTGGGATACCATAAGGAAAAACCATTAGTTCATGTGCATCAGTTCATGCTAGTATGGGTCCCGGTAATCTAGTCGATAACAGGAGAGAGGGACAAACCCACTCACTGCACTCCTGTATATACATAGAGACTGTATGGACTACTTAATCAATACAGCGGAGCTCGGATCAAATTGGATTGGCTAGGTCAGGCTGATTGGAAATATCAGGACAATCAGATCTCTCCAGATCCAATCAGAGTGAGGGAGATTGTCAAACACACAGATTCCGGTGCAGACAGGGCTCAACTAGGGGGGTTCCAGGAGGTCAGGTAGTGGACTGAAGCTTCTCCAGGAAGCCTGAGTCTGCTGGCTAGTACAAGAGTCTTTGGAGGACATGGCCTCAGTGACTCGGAAGGCAGTGCTGTGCCTCCAGGGGAGTTTTGGATGGGGTTAGTACTAGGTACAATGGGGGCTAAACTACAAGTATATAAAACAGAAAAGAGGACTTTGTCATATCCATACCAACTCTGCCCAACCTCTGCCCTACTCTGCCACTGTTCTAGTTCACTTCTGGTTTGTCCTCTCCCTCACCTCTGCCATATCCTCTGGGATACTTCCAGTCCACCTCTGCCTCCAATCTCCTGTACCCTGTATCCTCATCATAGAAGGTTATTAATATTTCTATCTACCCAACATTACTATGGACCTCCTAGGACCTCCACCAACCCTGCAAAGGATTTCCCATTACCCAATAGCTGTTGCTAATTCCACCCACCCCACAGTGCTCAATAAGGCAATTCTCTCATGAGCTCACCAACCCAGTGGGTAAGTCCTTGGGTTTTCCCTTTCTTCTCTTATTTGTCCTGTATTATGTATATAGGTCATGTACCATAGTTGATGGCACTAGAGTGCAAAATCGACGACTAGATTCCCCCAGAGTTTGCACCCTCCCGTTCTGAAGTTAAAAACCCAACAATAGCTTAATCGAATGTTGGCACAGCACTCCCCTCTGAATCACTGAGGCCATGGTACCTCTGCTTGTCCTCTACCTCTGGCCTCCCTTCCGGGGAAAGGTCCAGACATGCTTGATCCCTCTTTTGCTGTGTTCTGACAGACTTTAGACAAAGTCTGAAAGATACCAAAAGTTCCAAAAGGTTCTGAAAGACAATGAAGGGTAACTTGAATGGGGAACCCAGGTGTCAGGTTGAGGAGGGTGGAGAAGAAGGCTGAGGAATAAATGGGAATGAGAAATGGGTAAGAGAAGTTAGCTGACTGAATTGAAAGAAGATATCAGTCATGGGAGGAATGGAAGATGACTAATAAAAAGGGTGAAGGGTAGAGTCATCATGGATGCAGATAGCTCCAAAGCTGGAGTTACTCATCCAAGGAATATTGGGTGACTCCAATAAATGACTTAGCTCTCGCTTAGCTATCTCCAGCTGCATGTCACCCCTTTCCCACATCTCGCTTACAATTACCTGAATGTATTAGTGTCAGGGCACACCGCTCCGCTCCCTCCTTTTTGTTCCTCTTTTCCTTTCCTTTCTTTCCTTCCTTCTTTATTTCTCTATATGGACAACCTCCTCTTTTGAAGCATGGACACATCCAATGCTGAGTACTCTGTGTGGGTACTATGCCACCAGACACACCATGCATCTCCACTTGTACTTCTCTTCTCTAACACTTGGGATTGCCTGCAGAGCAACCCATGATAGCCTGGCTCTGTCTGGGGCTGACATGGCACCCTCACGTAACCTGTTCCCACTTGTATATAAACCAAGCCGAAGCACAACCAAAGAAGTAGCCTTCTTCTCATTACTGTAAAGCCACCACCTGACAAAAGCTCACCACCTTGCAGCAAGGTAATGACTCTGTGAATAGGATCATCCAGGAGTTCGAGATCCATGGCCCCCCCCCTCATGGCTAGGTGACATAGGACTGATAGACCACATTGAGCAAGTGATCAACACATGGCTCCATGAGAGGATCTATTGCCTGCATCCCATGCCAAGGACTTGGACAGAATGGAAATAAGAGGCCACCCTCCTCAACAACCAGTGGTGGCACTTCCAGGCAACACAACCCCAGCTCCCCCTGTTCAAACCGCCCCTTCCCCCCACACAACCATGACCATCAACCCCCCAGCCCTTTGCACACCTGCCACCTGGACCCCTGCCACGATCCGCTGCTGCCCCTGTGACCCCCATGACCACAGCCCAGCACCGACCTCGACCGTTCAAGGGCAGACCAGCGATGAGGGCTATGCCAATGCCCCCAGGTGCTTTGTGTGAGACTGCCCCCTCCCAAAGGTTTGCTGAATATGCTGCATGCACCTGGAGAACCTTTGAGCACTCACAGAAGGGCTGAGAAGCCAGCTGATGGGGACACTCAAGAGGGATGAAGAGGGAGAGGAAGCAGACCCCCCAGTGGATTTTTGGGAAGGCAACCAGTGAGGGATGCATCCCAGCCACCTACTAGCAATAGTACCCAGTGTAAATATCGAGATACGTTGTTAGAATGGGCGGATTTGGACGACTCCGGAATGGAATCGGAGACTTAGCATGGAAGGACCTTGGCCTCAGCGACTCAGGCGGAGCACTGTGCCATTGCTGGTTGTCCTGGGGGTCCCTAATTTTGGATCTAGCAGAGGGAAAGTCTCTTGGGGGGAATTCAGGTCGATTTCGGACTGAGGTTACAAGTTACTATGTACATTGTATATAAGGGGGGGTCCGGAATCAAAAGGAGCGAGGGTAGGACAAAAGGAGACAAAGGGAGATGGAAAGAGGAACAACACCGAGGGTCAAGGGTTTGACTCAATGGTGTTTCTCAAAGGAGGAATGAAGGGCCAAGGCCCAAGGAGGAAGGGAGTGGGGAATGGCCAGCTGACTGAATAGAAAGGAAGCAGCAGCCCAAATAGGGATGAGGGAGAATAGTGGAACTGAATAGGACAATGCAATAGTTGCAAGGTCCGACATAAGTCCGGAAAGTCCGAACTTGGAAGTTAAACTCCGGAATATTGGCAAACATAATTAAATGGAATGAGCTAACCAATACAATGGGTATAAGCGGAGGTGGGGTCAAAGTCCGAGGTCGGAGCTAAGACCGGAGGTTCCGGAGACAGAGACGCGAACGGGATTCCGGAGCGGAGGTCCGGAGTCGGGAGCATAGGTTTTGCATACTTGTCTGGAAGGTGTCGTGGTTGGGGCTGGACCCAGAATGTTCCGGAGTCGGACCGAAGGTGGTGTCCAAGCTGGAGGTGGGATAACCTCTTGGGAGTCGGCAAGGAGAAGGTGATGGAAGGGAAGTAGGGCTCCAGAAGTCAGAGTTCAGAGTTCCGGGAGCCCGGAGCGGAGGTCGGAATTGTATGGATATGACATACGTGCGAGTCCACACCTTCCACCAGGTAATTGCTAAGAAACAGAGGAAAACTGCATCCTCAACCAGGAAAAGCATGGGAGCTGCTGGCCTACCACCTGAGGTGGCCATCTCCCCACCTGCCATCTATGTGCTTGCGAAACAGTCCCCCCACTCCCTCAACATGAAAGTGAAGGTGACTGCGTTACTGTCCCTCACTGCAGTCGCTGTCTGAGCACTGTTAGACTCCAGTGCAACAGGGAACTTTGTAAGCCTGCACATCATCCAGAAGCATGGGCTCAAGACAACCCCACTCCCCCAACCCATCCCAGTGCACAATGTAGATGGGACACCAAACGAGAATGGGGCCATCACTGAAGAGCTGGAAGCCCTGTTGACATTTGGCCAACACACAGAGCAGGCCTGCTTCACCATGGCAAACCTAGGAGCAGTCCCTCATCATTGTGCATTTGTGGCTGCTGCACCATAACCCAGAGGTCAACTGGGCATGGCAGAAGGTCGTCATGTCTCATTGCCCCTCCTCCTGCCAGTCATTGCAAGTGACCCCCAAGCAGACCCCCAAAGTGGAGCCTGGGGATGGGATATATGCCCCATAATCCCACCAGAGTGGGGACACAATCTGAGGGTGATGACCATGCCATCTGAAAGGAGGTAGGGAGGGCAAAGCCCAGAGGGGCAGGAGGATGAGGTGAAGTGGGGTTGATGACTAACTGGCTAAAATGGAAGGAAGCAGTAGTCCAAATATGGATGAGGGGAAAGTGTGAAAGATACATTACAAGCAGCGAAAGTGCCAAGTAAGGCCCATGAAGCTTGGAGGTTGTGGAGCTTACAGAGGTTACAGAGGTGGGGTTGAAAGTCTGAGGAATATTGGCAATGGTGTTTATGTATAATGAGGTCACCAATGCAATGGACTTAAGCTGAGGTGGAGTCAAAGTCCGAGGTCGGAAACATGATGGAATCTTGGAGCAAAGGTACAAGTTGTGTCCGAGTATGGGGTACAGGACTGTGGCAGAAGGTGGTAACTTTGGTGGAGGTTGGTGTCATATCC